TCACCTGGACTAGGGGGGCATTCATGGTGCCTAGGGTACAACTTACTCCTTCCCTGTCTCCCAGTTCCTTGGCTGTACATAGACTGGAGAACACGTGGACCCTGTCAGCACTGTGCCCAAGCCATCTCGGGTAGGAGGAAGGGGGTCTTCCTCTGCCCACAAATGTGCTCACCCCACCAGGGGACCTCTGAGTAGTGACGGTTGGCTTTCTGGGCTGTGAGCACATGTGGTCAGCTCCTGCCCAGCTTTTCATCCACCAGTACCCTGAAGTCCTTCTTGACAGGGCTGCTCTCAATCCCTTCATCCCCGAGCCTGTATTGATACCAGGAGCTGCCCTGGACCAGGTGCAAGACTTTGCACTTGGCCTTGTTGAACCTCATGAGGTTCATATAGGCCTACCTTCAGGTCCCTCTGGATGGCATGCTGTCCCTCCACCACCAGTACCCTGAAGTCCTTCTTGACAGGGCTGCTCTCAATCCCTTCATCCCCGAGCCTGTATTGATACCAGGAGCTGCCCTGGACCAGGTGCAAGACTTTGCACTTGGCCTTGTTGAACCTCATGAGGTTCATATAGGCCTACCTTCAGGTCCCTCTGGATGGCATGCTGTCCCTCCAGCTTGTCAACAGCACCACTCAGCTTGGTGTCAGGGTGCACTTAATCTCACTGTCTATGTCATTGATGAAGATTTTGAACAGTACTGATCCCCATACAGACTCCTGAGGGACACCACTCATCACCGATCTCCATCTGGACATTGAAGCATTGCCTTCTGGATGTGACCATCTAACCAACTCATCATCCACTGAACAGTCCACCCATCAAATCCATCTCTCTACAATGCAGAAAGAAGGATGTTGTGGGGGACTGTGTCCAAGGCCTTACAGAAGTCGGCATACAGACTCCTGAGGGACACCACTCATCACCGATCTCCATCTGGACATTGAAGCATTGCCTTCTGGATGTGACCATCTAACCAACTCATCATCCACTGAACAGTCCACCCATCAAATCCATCTCTCTACAATGCAGAAAGAAGGATGTTGTGGGGGACTGTGTCCAAGGCCTTACAGAAGTCGGGACAGATGACATCCATAGCTCTTCCCTTGTCCACTGATGTAGTCACTCCATCATGGAAGGCCACTACGTTGGTCAGACAAGACTTGCCCTTGGTGAAGCCACACTGGCTGTCTTGAATCACCTCCTTGTCCTCCATGTGCCTCAGCGTAGCTTCTAGGAGGATCTGTTCCATCATCTTCACAGGCACAGAGGTGCAGCTGACAGGTCAGTGTTCCCCAGGGTCCTCCTTTCTGCGTTTTTTTAAAAATGGGTGTAATGTTTCCCTTTTTCCAGTCACGGGGGACTTCAAGTGACTGCCACGACTTTTTAAATATCATGGAGAGTGGCTTGTTAACTACGTCCTGAGGCATTTCCCTCAGGACCCTTGGATGCATCTCATCAGGCACCATAGACTTCTGTATGTTCAGGTTCCTCAGGTGGTCACCAACCTGATCTTAGAGTGGGAGGGACTTTGCTCCCTTAGTCCCTGCCTTGCAGCCCATTCACTTGAGAAGTGTGGGAAGAGAGGCTGCCAGTAACGACTGAGGCAAAAAAAGTTGCAAAGAACCTCAGCCTCCTCCTCATCCTTTGTTACCAATTTGCCATTTTTGCTCACCAGGGCAGTACATGTTCTTTGACCTTCCATTTCTGGCTGGCATACCTGGAGAAGCCCTTATTATTCTTTGTGTCACTCGCCAAGTTCAGCTCCATCTGCGCCTTGGCCTTCCTGACCCTATCCCTGCACAACCGGGCAGCATCCCTATACTCTTCCCAGGACACCTGTCCCTGCTTCCACTGCCTGTGCCGCTCTCTCTTGCCCTTTAGGTTGACCATCAGGTCTCAACTCAGCCATGCTGGTCTCTTGCCTTCCTTTCTTGATTTCTTACACCTGGGGATCGAGAGCACTTGCGCGCTTGGGAAAGTGTCCTTAAAGATCTGCCAGCTCTGTTCTTCTCCCTGAGGGCAGTTTCACAGGGGGTTCTATTGATGAACTTCTTGAAGAGCTGGAAGTTTGCTTTCCTAAAATGTAGAATGTAGGGTCGGCTCAAAAGAAGCAGGGTTTGCAGAGGGGTCTTCCCTGTTTTCTTCGCAAACCTCAAGGCCACTTACGTTGCTTGTTCACTTTGCTGTCTAATAGAGAGAGAAACCTCAGTCAAGTTGCCTTAATGTTTATTTTATTTAAAGAATCAGAAACACAGTCATTGTAGTTCATTTGTACTCATATCTGCCAACATCTCCTAAATCACGTTAACATTCATGTATAACAAAAACATTTTCTGAGCTGTGCAAAGTTCAAAGGAATTGTTCAATTACTTGAACCCACTTCTAGAAGAGCAAACCTGGCATTTTACAAACTGAGGCCTCCAGAAGGAGCCTTTTCTTTTTCCCCCCGCACTGTAGGAGATGCAGATGCCCCCTTCTCCCCCCTTCTCTGGTATGACAGGTAAAAATTAGACCACAGTACGAGTCGAACCTCTCTCAGTCCAGGACTTTCCAAATGACACCGGGTCACGTTTTCACATCACTGAGCTGTATTAAGTTCTGCACTTGTGCTCCTGGCATGGGAGTGATTTGTCCAAGAAGATTACTCGGTAACCCAAACTGTGATGATAAGCAATAAACAGGGGCCAGAAACAGCTGTTATCAAAATAGAAACACCCACTCCCTCCAAATACTTTTCATTGCAGGAGGTATAACTGGAAGGGTTGTTGTCCATTAAGAAAACCATCATCCTCCCTGCAAAGCATATTTTAAAGCACTGATTTCACGACATGACATATGCGTGTTTTCCTTGATCTTCTCACACACCAACTTTTGTCCTGTTAGAGTTAAGCATGAAAAGGTGGAAATCTGGAACCATTTTAGATCTGGCTAAACACAATAGGCAGCAAGCAAGCCGTCATCCTGTTTCATTTTTCTGAGTGTAGTAAATACACCCACGGAACAGAATTTTAAGAGAGCTTTAACCACTGTAACTTGTCAGAAAAAATCTCCTCATCTCTGACAGTCCTAGCCCAGAATTTTTATTGGAATTGATAACACGCATTTTGGTGTTGCTGACTTGCTAACTGTGCATGCAGTTTACTGTTTGAGGTGCAGTGACACCAGTTCTGATCTGGATCAAATAAGTGGACAGATATGGCTCTAGTCTCAAGCAAGTCTTTCCAGAAGACATTTCTTCAGTCTCTTATTGGTTATAAAAAGGCAATTTCCTCTCAACAGTAACTAAACTTTTAGTGGCTGACTCATTACAATCTGGAACATGAACAAATGCGGCAACGTTAAGTATAAAAAGAAACACCCTGAAAATGATGCCTCCCTGTTTGAAGGTGCGATACTTGGCCATGGACTGTGTTTCTGGAATCGGTTTGTTACATGTGACAGCAAGAAGAAACTTATTTTACAGAGAACAAAGTCACGGAGCTGAACTTAAAACAGGAACGCTCACTTACATGGGTTTTGATACGTACTAGTATACACGGCTTGAATGAAAACAAAACTTACACCTTCGCATATGAAATACTGGTAACGCAGTAATGATGTTCACCCACTGGGCCTCTTCCTTTTAATAAGATCATCTCCAGGTTACAGTGCCTCTGACACGCTTTTAAACAACCACCACATGTGGGCTTTGGCCAACAGCCAGCCGCTGGCAGAGGCAAGGTACGGATACAGCTACGAACAGCCTTTCAGCACGTTTCATTCCTCAAGAGCCGATGTCTTTTTAAATACTCTCACAATCATATTGTGGAATTTTTTTTTTTTTCTCATTCTGCTTCGTACGGATAACCGGCTAAACTCGCTTTACATTTATTGCACCTTTAAGTCCCTGGTAGATGGAAGCTTATATTGCCTGATACGGTTTGTATGGTAGCTTGACCATGTTAAGAAATCGAACAGTCTCCAGAACTGTACATTTCTACAATAAGAAATCACATCTCGATAACGCTAATTACAGCCGTCACAGATCAGCTCTCGTCTCTGTGATGCAACGACAGAGGAAAACTCCACGGTCCCTGCGCGTGCTAGAACCTGCAGTGTTCTTCTTATTGCCATGAAAAAGTCAATTAAAACGACTCCTCTGGGAATTACTTCCAATTCTGGAGTAATTATCACTCTCCAGACAGAACGCTGTGCTTCAGCGTGGGTCTTCAGCCACTCTAAATACGTAGGAGAGAGCGAGTGTGTGCGTGTTACACAGACATACTCCCCTACGTACGTTTATCGGTGACCGAGCAGCTTTTTCTCTTTTCCTCTACGAAGCATGAACAAGCAGTCTGATCTCCATCTTCAGGTACGTTTCTAATTTCATACGTTGAACACAAATCTTGTTGCAGCCTCTCTGTTTAACCAAATCAAATCTTTAACCATTAAAAAAAATAGCACCAGATGTATGAAAAAGAGGAAATGTCGGATCTAGTAGGAATATATATAAAGTAGAGCAATTTTTACAGTAAAAAGGTACGTCATACAAAAAAGCGATGGAAAGTGATACCGAAGGACAAAAATCCATGCTGCATATAATAAGGGCAGAAGACAGGCAAAAGGGATTCTGCTCAAATAACCACAGTTTAATGGTGGAGCTGTACTTCCTCCAGGACCTCCCCGGTGGCAGCGCCGGGACACCGGATGGTAGGGGACTCTGAGCACTATCACACTCACCGACAAACTCGCGCAGCATATCTTTGAGGTATATAGAAAGCATGACGTTAACATTTTGGACTCTTCATTCTTTCTTGCACGATGATGCACCCATCTTTAGCTGGGGTTTCCTCCCCCCCTCCCCCTCCCACTTTTTCCCTCGGGAAAAACAAAATCCCAGTTTAAGAGCTTCCTAGCACACCTCCTTGAACTCTCAAATCCATCTTGCATAGGCCAGTAATAAGAACACTGCAGCTCTGACAAATAAGTTACAGCAATATAACAACTTTCCTCTTAATTTTTTTTTAAAGATATCTTCTCTATAATTTACACAAAGGGTTAACAGCCAGAGTTTAGGTTACGTACAGTCCAGATGGGCGTCCTTTCAGTCTGTGATTCCAGGTGGAAGGCACTACTTCAACATACCACTGTATGCACCGCACGTGGTCTCAGGAGCACAGCGGGACACCGCGTCTCCGGAGCTGTAGACTGAAGGGCCTGGGGGGGAGTCTTTGGAAATAAAAATGGCAGTGGTTATCAGTCCAGTTTCCCTTTGCTGTCTCTTCTTGTGCTATGCAGTTTCCCCTGAAAGCTCCTCCAGTTGAGAGAGCGGCGAGCCGTCCTCAGAAGCTCTCCACAAAGCTCCCCGGGAAGAGGCCCGTCCTGCCGTTCCTCTGCAACGTCCCTTTGTACCAGCCGTCCTCCCGCTTCTTGTGCACAAACACAATGTCACCTTCCTTCAGTTCGATCTCAGCCTCACTCTGTGGTGGGTATGGGACGACAACGCGGTACCTTTGGAGACAAAAACCACAAAGATCTGCTCAGCCAGCAGCTGAACCTGTGCCTGGCAGGAGCAGCCAGGGACCACGTGTCCGGCAGACTCTACCAGGCCAGACATTTGACTGGTTTTACACTGACTTGAGCCCCCACCTTCACAGATGCTCCCCTGGATGTGTAAGCAGAGAGGCTGGCTGTCAGGAAAGGAACCACCACCACCCCCAAATCCCATGGAGGGCACCTTAGAGGTTCTTCAGCGTGACACCTGCAAGTCACTATTGACTACTGAGGTCCTTTCCTTATTTCTGGTGCTGACCTGTAACGCCAGCCCTAGAAGCCAGCCCTGCTTTCAGGCTCTTTTTCCCCAGTATGATGGGGAGATCTCTGGCCAACTTGACTTGAGGGCTTGATGGGGACGTACTCTGGAAACAGACCATGAAAAGGTCTACTGAGCCTGTGCCAGGGACTCGCCTGCTTTCTCCTGGCGCTGCATCTGCCTCTGCCAGAACGTGCACTGCACCTGCTCTATCCAAAAACGGGGTTTTTGCCCCGTGATATAGGCAGAGATTGGCTAAAGCAGTTCACATTTTTCTTCTAATTATTTGTCTTGGGAAGGTACTTTGGGTCCTTCAAACCTGGGGAAGGGAAGCTAAAATTAAGGGGTATCAAATGACTTCAGAAGCACCCTCCAAACCAAGAGGGAGCCCCTGTCCTGAATCATTTGAAGGGCTCTCCAGGAACTTTCAAGTGTCACTTCGTTTTAACGAAGTAATGAAGGGTCTGATCCTGATAGAGCTGTTCTGTACTCAGGTTTATCAGCAAGTGTCCTCCTGAGAGCACAGACTGTGTCCTTTTACATGGGTGCACTTGCTGTACTTCCCCACTGCTGTGGGAAAGTAACGGAAGATTGGCGAGGAGGACTGTAAACACGCTCAAGTGACTCGCATGTGGGGTGCTGGAAAACATATCTATCACACTAATTGTTGCTTAGTTTTGTGTGCTCAAGAAGTAGAACATCTGCACTCAGATAACATAGGCCTGGGATGGACTCAGGGGCACCTTATCAAACACGCCTGGGATTCTTGCCCTGCTGTTGAAGAGATCAAAGCACAGCAGAAAACTCTGCCTGCCTGAATCCTCGAAATACAGGCCCAAACAGCAAGTGGGAGCTCCCTCGCTCCCTCACTCCCTTGCTAACAAGGACTCTCTTGCTAATAAGGACTCTGGCTCCGCAGTGCCTGTGTCCCCTGCTTGCCTGCCTCTGCCCAGGTGCTGCTTCAGAGGTTCCCCGATCCATGAGGTATTGACATTAAATTGTTCTTTGCCTTTAATCCATGGTTTTATGGTTGTTCCTGCATCCTGCCTGCATCGGCTCACACAACTGGTTTGTTTCTTCAGCACATGTACTTTTGCAGTCATCTGGCATTTGCTTAACAATCAATAACTGTCCTGCTAATTGCAAAGTAATGAATATAGTAAGATGGTTAAAAGATGCTAATTGATTACTTAAAGCCTATCTCCTGAGGATTAATATTTCCACAACCACTGCATGGCCACTGATGCCTCAGTCATTTTTGTTATAAGGCATGTATTTATTTCAAATAATATCCTGTCCTCCAAGACTGAATTCAATGTGCCCTGAAGGCTCTGGACCACTCCCTGGAGCCATTCCCAGTGAGACGGTACCAAAGAAAAGGACTCTCCACTGTCAGTCACTAATTTTCTTTTCAGATGTTGCCCAGGTACCTAGTGACTAAGGTTCTGAAACTAGGGGCTCCACACTGAAGACACTGGCTCTGGCTCTATGTTTAGATGCCTCCACGGCCAATCATGCTGTTACTTGGAAAAGCTCTAAAACCTGACTACAGCCTTTTTATCTTGACACAGCAACACAGTCATGTAGAAAATATATGTGTTCAAGTGCCATTGAAAATCTGCCGGTCTTCTCTGTCCCTCAGTCAATAAATCTAGTTGTCACTTCCTTCCTCTGTGGAAAAGCAAGTAACAGAGGCTGATACGTGTGCTGCTGGCTGGCTGCAGGAATATGGTCTATCACGCTATCATCTGAGGAACTGCTACACTTATATTATGAAGCTTTGCCAATTACAGCCATTATGCAAATGAATGCACACATTATTTCAAACACTCTGCTGCAGTGTTGATTAATTAAATTATCAGAGTGGAACAATTGTAGCTAAGATGATGCCAAGTTTCAGATCTCGCAACTCTACACGCAGTCACGGAGCACTGGAGCTCTGGACCAGGACCTCTCAAGAGGCCTTGAGAAAGAAGAGGGTCAGACCTCAACAGCAGCCAGGTGGTGCAGAGGCACTTGCAGGCCCTTTTGACAGATCAGGAAACAGAAAGAAAGAAAAAGGTGGTGTCTTGGGCAGGGTTGCCCCAAAGACACAGCTGGGACTGTCAACACCTCATGTCATACCTAAGGCACAAAGCCATCCTTTTAAAGCCAGACTACATCCTAGGAGCTGGTAGTCCCTAAATGGTTCACACAAGGAGAGAGGTGACCACGCTCAACAGGAATGTGCCCATCGTCATAAAAGGGCATCTCAGCCCTTTTATCACACAGCATCTCCTTAGAGGTTTGGAAAAATAAATCTCCGTTGCTGCATTCCCAAATGAAGTACTTTTTCCCATTTAAGGAAGCCCCAAACGCTACGGTTTAAATTTAATTAACTATGGTACCTTATAGGATAGCACCAAAGTGTTTTTGATAGAATAATGAAATCTTAGATACGAAAGACCTTGAAAATCAGTTAAGAAATCCTCCATGAGAGATGGAAAAAGATGTTTGTGCTTGTTGTTCCCTTGAGAGGCTTTTGAAGCGGGCCCTGGGAGAGGCAGCGGGCAGCAGCACGGCGCCACTGCTGTGCCGCCCCTCCAGACCTCCAGGTGGCATCTCAGCCTAGTTTATCCTCTGGAACTGAATTGCAAATACATATATTAGCCATATTTTTTTGGCAGAAAAGATTGCTTCTCCCAGACATCCTCCCTCACTCCCAAAAAGGCAGTCCTGTGTACTTCTATTTATATCTCTCCTTTTCATTTCCCCTTTTGTCCCCTCTTTGAGAAACTACTATAAAACTGTAGTTTTCTTACACCAAACTGCTTCCTGGCATTTTAGATGGATCTCAGAGTGATCTCAATTTTGTCTGTGTTACATTACACTTCTAAATTACAATCTTTTAAAAATTCTAATTAGCTGGGCAACAATTGTGATGACAAGTGTAGCAACCACCTCTCCCTAGATTAACAATGTTTGGTATTTTCTGTTGTAAATCGTACTTTCAGATAGTTGTAATGCTGCCAAATGTGAACCACTTTGGCCCAAACTCTCCAGCAGTTGACTGTGTCAGGCTAAGAGTCCCACATTCAGCCCAAATGATCTCATCCCCTCCAGGATTAACATGAGGGCTTTTGCAGCACCAGGAGGACCCAGGTGAGGGCTTCCACAAACTGCTCTTTGGTCCTCATACTTAGGAGCAAAGGTCTGTCCTGTGGCCTCACTAGTCTGTCAAGGATGGTGTCCTTCAATAAATCACCTGCTATCGGTCGGGTTAAGAGCATTCAAACCACCCTGAAATGGCACATGCTTAGTAGAGCCTTGTACATAGGGCTACAAAGATGATTTGGGGCCTAGAACATCTCTCTTACGAGGAAAGGCTGAGGGACTTGAGTCTTTTTAGTCTGGAGAAGACTGAGGGGGGCACTGATCAATGCCTATAAATACTTCAAGGATAGGTGTCAAGGGGATGGGGCTGATCTTTTTTCAGTTGTGCCCAGTGACAGAACAAGAGGAAATGGGCACAAACTTGAGCAGAAGAAGTTCCATCTAAACATGAGGAGGAACTTCTTTACATTCAGGGTGGCAGAACACTGGAACAGGCTGTCCAGAGAGGTGGTGGAGTCTCTGTCTCTGGAGGCATTCAAAACCCGCCTGGACATGTTCCTGTGCAACCTGCTCTAGGTGAACCTGCTTTGGAAGCAGCATTGGACTAGATGATCTCCAGAGGTCCTTTCCCAACCCCATATTGTTCTGTGATTCTGTGATATGAGCACTGAAGGTAAAATCTCTGATGATTCATGCTTCAAGATGTCCTAGCTCTACAGGATCTCAGAGGTTGTGTCTCTCTTCCTTTCCCAGCAACAGGCTCCTCTCATCTTTTTCTCTCAGGGCACAAACTTGATGTTGGACTTCCCCACTGCCAGTTGTTATGGGATCCTTGGGTTGGGCACTTCATCCCTAGGATGGGCAGTGACTTGGGTAGGGTCCTTGGTGCCCAAGACAAAATGCATAAAAAGAGGCTGTGAGTATTATCAGCAAGGACAGGGGATGGGGTTTGCATGGGCCGGGACACCTCAGGGAGTTGGAGAGCAGGGTAAGGCGAAGGAGAGCGTAGAGGGAGACAGAGGCTGATGGGAGAAAAACTGGGAGCTGAGGGAGAAATGGGACCATGATGAAAACTGGAAGCTCTAAGAGAATGGGTATGGCTGCTGAGGGGGGGCAGTTGTGCTGAGCTGAGTCTGGGAGAGCAAAGAGCCTCGGTGGGAGGGGGCATGGGGCCGGGACATGACATCCTGTGGGGCCGGGACATGACATCCTGTAGGGCAGGAGACTGCATGGGTAGAGGCTGGCACTGGGGCTGAGGGTGGGACGGGGACCCTGGCAACAATGATCTCACTGGGAGCCAGGAAAGGGTCCATCATCCCTGTCCCTCTGCTGTTAGCAAAGTCCTGGCAACCCCACTGTTCCATGTCTTCACAGCACTCATTCTTGCAGTCAAAAGAAACGCCTCTCCCACCCAGCTCTCACTTTGCAACTGCTGCTGACATCTGCAAGGTGCAGCTGTGACTCCTAACCTTAAATAGATGTTACATGATGGAAGGGTTCGTTTCCTTTAAAAGAGCAAAGTAACTAAAAATGTCATGTATGTAGATGCATAAGGACATCCACTACCTTAACAGAACTGGAATGCTTCACACCCATGAATCTGAAAGAGGAACTAAAATTGCCCATGACTTCACTTTTGCTTGTGTGCAATATAATCTCTCATTACATGATTGCATACTATTTTTCCCATAGGATGCCTGCCTCATTGAGTGCACAAATGTCTTGCTCTGGACGTGAGTCAAGGCTCTGACATGGAAGAGTTGTGTGGCTGCCAAAGCCACTCCATCTTTCACAGAGGTTGGAGGATGTCTAGTGAGTGACCACAGCTAAGCTCACTGAGTAGTACAGGTGTGGGGAAAGTGGCTTCTCTGCCTCCTCCAGCTGCAAAGCCTCGTGCCACACTTTCCACAGACTCATCTCATGCACCCTAGTTGCGTAGGAGTCAGTTGTCTGCTCTAAATTACTCATGCAGGCTCTCTGTCGGCATGCACAGACAGGCATTGAAGAGTATTGATCAGAACTGATCAGTAATTAAGGGCTGGGCTTGGGCCTGGATACGGAGAAAAAAAACCCCAAAATATTGAGTACCTGCTCAATGAGTAAATACGTGCATTCAGGACACTGATGGAGGTAGAGGAACTTTAGAAAACAGGTGTACAATGAGGCAAATCAGGTCTGCAGGGTTAATCTCCAATCCAATCCCATTTAGAGTGCTTGGGTTTGGATGTTTAATGCAGGTTTCTGTTTGTCAAAGTATCATGCACTCAGGACAGGTTTCAGGAGTCCAGTCCTGTGTCTGGTTCCTTGTGTGTTAAGGATACACAGTTAGCTTCATGTGGGATAGATAATTGGTGAAAACGAGGCATCTGGCCCAGTTAACCACTGCTCTTGCTTATCAGTAGAGCTCTATTTCTCCATCCTTTTACTGGCAGACTGCAGAGACCTGCAAACTGCCTCTACACACTGCAAGCCAGAACCCGCTTCACCATATTACAGTGTCTGAATCAGCAGCCTTAGAACAACAAATCTCAGTTGGATCTTATACTCTTCTGCTGGAAATATTGCAGGATTCAGTTTCTGAGGTGGTTAATTCTAGTTTCTCAGTCCTAAGGCAGGTACCCCTAGTCAGAGAAGCACTTAACCATGTGCAAACATGTCACTGTTTCAGTCAGAACCTACTCCTGGGGTCATTTCTCTAGTATCACTTTCCAGGAAAGAAAAAAATCCTTCCTTTGCTTTCCCTTTTGGCAAAGAAGATATACACGCACAGCAAAATTGAAGTCAATGGGCATTAAGCACATGCTTGAATGCTTCCTTGAATTGGGATCTCAATTTCTAACGTGGCAGTGATTTGTAGAAAGGACACACGGAAACACGGAGGGGTCTATTTTAAAGGTCAAACTCCCTGCTCCCATCTTATTCTGCCAGCGCCGTTCTGCTTACAACTTGCTTGAAGGCTCCAGGAAAAAAAAACAACATAGAAACACAGCACTGCTACGCCAGTCGTGACAGTAAGTCTGGATGCGGCCGCTTTATCAGAATGTAAGATGGCAGAATTAGTGCCAGTTACTATAAAAGAGTCAACAATGCGTGACATGTTTTACTCAGGTTTGCAGCTGGGAGCGGTGCCAGGCAGCGCGGGGAACATGACTCATGGGCGCACACATGCACGCTCGGCTCTCCTGCTTGGCTTAACGTGCAGTCATATCTTCTTGAAGGGGGTGGCAAGCTAAATGTTTTGCTCTGGGGCTGCTAGGCAGACTGCACACCCCTCTCCTGCGTGAACCGACAGCGTTGGTGGGAGGTGGGCAAGTCTGTGGCCCAGGCTCTGCCTGACCACCGTGCACCTCTGGTACTGGGTCCTGTTTGCCTGCACCAGCAGAAGCTGGTGGGAGCGGTAGGTGGAGAAGAGCGTGTGGGGGGCAGGCAGCCTGGTGGGGTAGTCGCTTGACAGTCAATCACTGCAACGCAAAGTGACAAGGACACCACCTGGGAAATTTCTCCGCTCCGCTGCGCAGGCTGCTGGATGCTTTATGGCAGAGAGCAGCTAAAGGAAGGTGGCTTTATAAACTGATAGTGGGAAACTACCCCCAGCAGCCAGAGATGGGCACTAACTATATCAGCACACCAGTTAAGTAGCAAAGCTAAATGACGAGAGAGCTAGGAGCAATTTCCATTCTAATCCAGCCATCCATAATCAGGTTTTGGAAAATCGAGTTGATAAGATAAAATAATTACTCTCCTCGCTCTCCCTGTGTACAAAAAATGAAGGAGAGCATAAACATTAGCAGCATCTCTGAGAGGGCGATGCTCACTTCACCTTCCTGCCCGAGAGGCTGCAACTCCCAGGAAGGGCTGCGGAATAGACAATTCTTCCCTTAAATCGTGAGCACTGAGCAATCAGAGCCTTTTAATGCCCCTCCTCTACGGCTAGTGGGTTGACTGCTCAGGTTTGATCACTTGCCTGGATGTGGCGAGTGCTGGACCTGTAAGGCAGCCTCTATGGGAGAAGTCGCGGGGCTCTGCTGCCTGCATGAGCCTCCTTTCGAATGCCGTAAATATTAAGGAATGTGCTACTTCTTCCAACCTTTCAGGGCCCTGTCTCTGTGCGCGCAGATGGGCGTTGGGAGACAGAAAGCCAAGTACAGCTAAGTGCACTGAAATGCTTTTTAAAATTTCATCCAGCATCTGAATCTGTTTATCTAACCTTCTTTTCCCTCTCCTCCCTTTTCTTTCTCGAAGAATTGCTCCTACTGTGTGGATGAAATGCACCAAAATGCAAACAAGCAAAATATGGAGCCGAGTGACGTTGAATGCAAGTTCCTCTATTGCCAGATGTGAAAAGAACAAGTGGTTTGAAAACCATAATTTGTTTAAAAAAAAATATAATTTGGTACTTCTGAGCAATTTGATGATTTAATGAGCACAGATGGATGTGGGATGAATTTCTAGGAGACAAGTGTTTAATGTATCTGCTCAGATTATTCCAGGACTAAGCATTATCCTTCCTAGTGCATGAAGGTAATTAATATTTCCCATTATGGGCATGAAAAAACCCATATGATCAGTTAAGGAATGCAGATACACCAATGATATGGAAGTTAATTCATAAATCAATTAGAGAATCTTGCCTGCTGTGTATAATTAGGGTTACTTCAATTATAGCTTATTTTCGGATTTAAGACTCAGGAATTAAAATGCTTAAAATCAGAGTAAGTTCCTTACCATCATATACTGCAATTGGAAGCATTTACTCAGTTTTAACAGTCTAAATCTATTTACTCCTGATTCCAGCATGGCAGAGCAGATGCAGCTAACCCATGCTCCTCTGGTTTTATTCTGCCACTTAAAATCATCATCAACTAAATGTTCACTATCTGGATCATCCTGAGGTGAACTGAGAAATTTGTAGGATGTGGGACTAACCCTGGCATATTAAATAATGTGTCAGGACTTCTCTACAATAAAGTTTTGAGAGCAGCACCTCAAAAGCCAGCTCTGGAGTCGTCAAGGGATGCTCTTCCCAGCTTCTTTTCATAGCTACATTTAACTAAAGGTGCAGCATTCCACTGATTTAGTTACACTGGTGCTAAATCTGGTTTATATTGATTTAGCTTTTCATATAGCATTAATCTAAACTGATGTAGACCGAATTAAGTGCGCCTAAATAGGGATTGGTTTTTCACTCCTTTTACTAAATTGCTTTTTCATGGATTTTAAGGACAAGAGACTACTGTGATAGTCTGCTCTCACTGCCTTCATTAAGATGCTGAAGGACTTGCCTGTATTTATTTCTGCCTCAAGTCTAATAGCTGCGCTTGAACAAGAGCACCTCTTTCAGACAAAATGCCCAATCTAGAGTAAAAAAATTCCCATGTCTGGCCTGTCTGCAGTCTCTTACAGACTGCCACCAAGCCATTCCTAAGCCTGCTCTTTACCAAGCTTCCAAGGTCAGCAGGCTGCTGAAATGAACTCCAGAATCACTGGTACATTCCTCTTTAGAAATGAGCTACATTCTTGGTAACAGGTCACCGAAGATCGCACTGCCTGTAAGTATCCTAAACATGGAGAATTTGAAATGGTCTTTGGTATTGCAGAAGAGACCAGAAAGGGCCTTGATGAGCAAACACATCACCCCTGTTGCCCCCAGGTAGGAAACGCCACATGACAACTCTGTAAGTTCATTGAAAGATAGGGATCCACTTAAAAAGTGGCCTTTGCCAACATCATTTGGCTGAGAAAGCACTGTTCTCCTCCATATTTAGATGAGGGCTGTACGGTGTCATGGACAGGTGCTGCTCACCACTTTTTAAACCAATGAACATTAAACCTGCACTGTGTGTCAAATGATTTTCAATGGGCAGATGCATGTAAGCCCTGTTTTCCTAAAAGACAGCCGAGCCACCTACAGTCAATCGACGGAGCAGCAAAACTGCAACAACCCTTGAGCAAGTTAAACTTGCAGCCCTCCTCCAACTGCTCCCCGAGGACGCAGGCAACCTCAGGAGATACACAGCTTACCTTTCCCGGGGCAAAGGCTTGGGCTCTGGCCGAATAGCTGCCATGGAAGAGAGGGGCTGCCTGGCAGGAGAAGGGATGGAAAAATTCAAATCCAAGGAGCCTGTTTTCCTGTGCAGAGGCTCCAGCCCCATGGCTCCCTGCATTTCACTCTCGATAGGGCATGAGCCGGCCCTGCCGTGGCTGGAGAGGGAGGAGAGCTCAGGTCCCACTGCTCCTTGCAGGACTCCTTCGATGGCTGCCTGGGGGTCGTGCGTGGGGGACACGGACGGTGGGGAGCGTGACTTCTTTTTTGTTGATGCTCCTGCTAGAAGTTTCAACAGCCCGCTCTTCTTCTCCTTCTGCAAAGGAACCAAACAAAATATGAGCAGTGAGCAGACATACAAACTCCCTTTGTTTTTTTTTTTGAAAATCTCAATGTGTGCGGCAGGAAACCTCCCAAAACTGCCACGACTAGAGGTGAATCCAGGTAGGACTTGAGCTATCAGGAATAAAGACCCTATGAAAATCCCTCCCTATCCAACAGGGATTCAACTTGTTCAGCAGAGTAAGGACCTAACATACTGCAATGATTATCTCCATTTTCAAATCCACCCAGGCAGTAATCACGGGCCTTTTGAAAGAAATAGCACAGTTACAGTGGGACAGCAAAAGAACAAACTTCCCATACAGAGAAGGCAGCGACCACATTGCTGCCTTCTCTCTTCCAGGAGAATCCTGTCTCTCATAGAATCATAGAATGGTTTGGGTTGGAAAGAAACGTTAAAGATAATTGAGTTCCAACCCTCCTGACATTGGCAGGAACACCTCCCACTAGACCAGGTTGCTCAAAGCCCCATCCAGCCTGGCCTTGAACACCTCCAGGGATGGGGCACCCACAGCTTCTCTGGGCAACCTGTTCCAGTGTCTCACCACCCTCACTGTAAAGAATTTCTTTCTAGTATCTAATCTAAATCTCCCCTCTTCCAATTTAAAACCGTTGCTCCTTGTCCTGTCACTACACTTCCTGACAAAGAGTCTCTCTCCATCTCTCCTATAGGCTCCCTTCAGATATTGAAAGGCCGCTACAAGGTCTCCCCGGAGCCTTCTCCAGGCTGAACAACCCCAGCTCTCTCAGCCTGTCCTCATAGGGGAGGTGCTCCATCCCTCTGATCATCTTCGCGGCCCTCTGTTGGACCCGTTCCAGCAGATCCACATTCTTCCTGTGTTGAGGACTCCAAAGCTGGACACAGTACTCCAGGTGGGGTCTCACAAGCGCAGAGTAGAGCAGTAGAATCACCTCCCGTGACCTGCTGGCCACACTTCTCTGGATGCAGCCCAGGAAAGCGGTTGGCTTTCTGGGCTGCCAGTGCACATTGCCGACTCGTGTTAAGCTTCTCATCCACCAGCACCCCCAAGTCCTTCTCCTCAGGGCTGCTTTCCAGCCATTGTCTGCCCAACCTGTGTTTGTGCCTGGGGTTGCCATGTCCCAGGTGCAGGACCCTGCACTTGGCTTGGCTAAACTTCATGCGATTTGCATGAGCCCCATGTCTCAAGCCTGTCCAGGTCCCTCTGGATGGCATCCCTTCCCTCCAGTGTGTCAACTACACCACCGAGTTTGGTGTCATTGGCAAACTTGCTGAGGGTGCACTCTATCCCACTGTCCATGTCTCCAACAAAGATGTTGAACAGCATTGGTCTCAGTACAGACCCCTGAGGAACACCACTCGTCACTGGCCACCAATCGGGACATTGAGCCACTGACCACAACCCTTTGGGTGTGGCCACCCAGTCAGCTCCTTATCCACCGCGTGGTCCATCCATCTAATCCATTAGTTTCCAATTTTGAGACCAGGATGTCATGTGGGACAGTGTCGAATGCTTTGCACAAGTCCAGGTAGACAACATCTGTTGCTCTGCCCTTGTCCACCAAGTGTGTGGCAGTATCATAAAAGGCCACTAAATTTGTCAGGCACGATGTGCCCTTGGTGAAGCCATGTTGGCTGTCTCCAATCACCTCCTTATTTTCCATGTGCCTTAGCAGAGATTCCAGGAGGATCTGCTCCATAATCTTGCCAGGCACAGAGGTGAGACTGACTGGCCTATAGTTCCCTGGGTCTTCTTTTTTTCCTTTTTTGAATATCGGGGTTATGTTCCTCTTTTTCCAGTCTGAGAGAACTTTGCCAGACTGCCACGATTTCTCAAGTATGATGGAAAGTGACTTAGCAACTTCATCCGCCATCTCCCTCAGCACCTGTGGAGGATTTCATCAGGTCCCATGGACTTATGCACTTTCAGGTTCCTTAAGAGGTCTCAAACCTGATGTTCTTGTACTGTGGGCAGTTCTTCATTTGCAGAGCCCCTGTTTTTGCCTTCCGTGAGCCCCCAAAACTGACAAATCAGGCCCAGTGGCTAAAAATCTCAGCTGGGAAGCACAGGGGTCTGAGGAGCCATTTCAGATCCCAGCCTATTGCTAGAAAAGCGCTCATCTGCTTGTTTGCTACCAGATGGAGATTTGCTGTAGGGAGAATGGAGGCACAAGACAGAGGTTTAATAGCTCTTTCCAGCACATGGTCTCCTTCATATCCCACATCACACAGCTGCACCTATTCGCGTCTCCCTGCCGGAAGTGGGTCACTTCTCCTCATGTGTTAAGGTAAGGGTATCACCTTGATGTTTGAAGACAGACCACAATATTCACACTTGGCAATTGCAGTGGCAGTGCATGGGAGGTTTCAAAGTTCTACAAGGGTTTCTGATACAGAGGAATGAAAACAAAATAACAGCACCCTTTCAATTAATGTGAAAAAAACCACCATTCAGCCTGCATTAGTGAAGAAACACATCTGACCTTGTGGTTTTTATAGCAGTGTGAGAAATCCTGCTTCAGATTTTCCTCAAGCACACACAAATACCAAATATTATGTCCTTCAGCTAGAAAGTTTATTGGTTAGAGGGACTGTATTCAGAAACTGGCCATCCTCCAGTACATGTCGCACAGCGCTAGGCTAGAGTTGCAATGAGCAACGCTGTGCAATAAATTTTCCATTTCTTTTAATGACACAAGAAGTTTCACAAAAGGTCTGTCAGATTTCTTCCTCTTCTGTCAGAAGTGCAACCCATTACCCAAGACTATCTTCAGAGACTCGGGGCTGTGAAGTTTAGCGGTATCTGATAATTTGTTCTGTAATAGGATCCCAGGGGATAAAAACGAACCCAGCAACTGCAATACTTAGGGAACAGAAACTCTTTCTCTATCTTCAAGCAGGAACACTCTTTGGAAATACAAGCCAGTAATTTATTTATTCTCTGTAGACAAAATGTCCCATGCCAGGTTTAAAATGATGGTCTTTTATGTGCTGACTACTGAAGTAATTTCTCAAAGCAGCTTTAAAGAGTAGGAGGGCTACAATAAAATAAATAGAAGCTTTTAGAAGATATTTGAATTTACTACAATAAATATACTTGTAGTATCTGATGTCTCTGCTCCCAAAGTTCTTGTTTGCACTCTTTAGCTGTCTCAGATGTGTAAGAAAACAGAAATACCTTAGATATGGAAGAACTAAAATGAAACAAAGTTCTTATCACAGAGACAAGGTCCACCGATTTTTGAAGAGTAGAGTCTGAAATACACTTCCAGATCCCAGTCTCCTGCGTACCGCTGGCTCCAACCATACACTCTGTTTAAAAGGGTATTTGTCACTTATAGGATGAAAGAATCCATCCTGCCAAGTTGTTCACTCAGGCAGAATCCATGGAAGCTAAGGGAGACTGGCCATATGGCACCATCAGGTCAAAAATACAAAATAAATTCCCCTGGAAACAATAGAAAGGCAGACCAAACGCCCCTGATAAACATCTTTCCCTGATGGGAAGGGACATTTGTGGGAACTGTGATAGGTGTGCATGCTGGAATTCACCTGATACACCAGAAAAATATTTTGGTGTTTCTCTTATTCTCTAATTAAGAAATATCACTGATGTCATCATAGTATCAAATTTTAAAGCTCTTCCCGAAATTGTAAGACTCTCCTTTCCCTATGGCACTCTGAAACAATAGCTCTAATGATCCCAGCATACTGTGTCAATATGCATTTGAAGGTGTCTAAAGGTCAGTGACAGAATACAATAGCCATTGTGGGGCTCTGGAGAAACGGCTATTGTGCAGCAGTGAGCACTTTGAGCCTCTTTAATTGGCAGCTTTGCACATGCAAAGTAACTATGTGAACTAAAGCCCTGTATAATGAACAATTAATATTCCTATGTGGTAGCAGCTTTTCTAATTTTTGCGTCTAATTTAAATACCTTGGCAAATTTTCCTTAGAAAAACCTTGTGTGACTTAGACCATTTAAGGCATAGAAGCAAAAATCTTTGGAAAGAAGGAGATGCATATATTCACACCCATCTGCACATTAAAGAGCAGATGAGTCTGACAGTCATTCAATTTTGTTTACGAGGACGGCTTCCACTCTACATGGTTAGCCCTGGCATAAATTTCTACACTCAAGCTACTACCCTTCAGATAACAGAGAGCTATAATGAACTTGCTGATGTACCCTTTGTTCTACTTTAACAAAAGAAAAATAAAGAATTGATTTTTAGACCTTCTTAGTCCACTGAGAATTTTACTAAACTTTTGAGACTGAGATCTGTGCTCTCTAAAGAGAGAAGATGACTTACTTCAATTGCCAAGTCTAGTCCTGCTAGTCAAAACCTGAGGAGTCTCATCCTTCCCATTGTGGCCTTGGGCAAGATCTTTAGAGGTGAACTGATAGTAACCACTTTGCGTGCCTGGAGATTCGACGTTACATCCAGCTCTTTCTCCCTTTGAGTCTGGCAAATGCTCTCAGCCTTCTGGTATCACATTGCCAGATCCTCTGCCGATGCTGCTCAGAGCACTTCAAGCAAAACAAGGACTGTCAGGAGCTGATAATTTACTGTGATGTTTCTCATGAGAAACAGATTGGGTTTGAACCTCCTGTGATTGCAGTTCAATCCAAGCCCCTTCATGCCTCCTCCCCCTGTCTGTAAAATGGGACTAAGTTAAAACTCCTCCTTGTGCCGTGGGAATTTATTAATGACTCCAGTGTTACAAAGCTGTACATTTCCTTGAGAGCAACCGGTCCTTTTCCATGGCTTTAATATTAAAAAAAAAGAAAAGATTTGGAATGGGATGTTAGTATGCAGTCCCAGTAGTGATTTATTGCAAATGTCCAAGTATTATGAATTCATTTAATATTTAGTGTAATAGCAGCCATCCTTCACAAGAAATTAATTTAATATTTATATGGCTGTCCAAGACAGTCCTTTCTTCAGCAGTTTCACTGTAAATCAACAAAGCATTAATGGGCATAAATGCTG